GTTTCTCTGCGAGATCGAATCAGAAACGAGGTGATCCGGCAGAGAACCAAGGTAATCGACATAGCCCACCGGATTAGCAAGCTGAAATGGCAGTGGGCTGGCCATATTAGCCGAAGAACCGATGACCGTTGGAGTAGACGAGTTCTTGAGTGGAGACCGCGTCTCGGCAAACGTAATGTAGGACGTCCTCAGGCAAGGTGGAGTGATGATTTGCGCAAGATGGCTGGCAGGAGCTGGATGCGAGTGGCCGAAGATCGATCCCAGTGGCGTGCAATAGGAGAGGCCTATGTCCAGCAGTGGACTGAAAAGGGCTGATGATGATGATGATGATGATGAAATTTTAAATCCTATAACGAACTTGAACATGACGCTATCATATTATGCGCTTTGCACTAACAATCCGAATCTATATATAAATTATGAGTACAGAATTGCAGCCGCTACGTCGTACCTAGGAGCCCTAATGTAAAGAAATCGATAAAGTCTTAGGTTTCTTTTGGCTTGGTTTTGGTAGAGGATTCAAAAACAAGTTTGAACAATCAATACTTGCAAGATAACCAGAGACCCTTTGTGCATTTAAAATGCACCTGGTTAATGACAATGGGACGAACGGATCCCTGATTATAAAGGACTTGAAACATAATTCTTAAACAGTGAGTGTTATTACATGGTATTATGTGCGAGAATCAAGCTTCGGCACGAATGGGCCGACTTGTGGTAGACTTGCCGGAGTGATACCACGGACTTACAGGATACCAACGATACAAATCTGACAAAAAAACCTTTAGTCCTCAAAGGTTCGGAGGCTCGTACTACACATATATACTTATAATAAATATATAACATAGTACCCCTATGCCACAGTATAAATATCATACAGTATTGTAACTCGGCCGCTTGAAAGAAATAAATACCTACAGCCGCGCGGTACGTAAACATGCGTTAGGGCTGCTCGTCTCCAGTATTTTAATTACCTTTGTCTACTTTCTGTTTCCATTTAGTTTTGTGATTGTAAATATCCTTTTTTTTATATAAACAAATAAAGTGCTTTAAAAATAAACAAACAAAATTTCTTTGGCCACTAATGCCGAACAGCTGACTACGAATGTTCTAAAATCACAACCCTCAAACATCAAAATATTACATGAGTCTAGCTGTTTTATTGTTGTTATTAAATATTTTCTAGTATTATTCATAAACGCAGATAATAAACAAATATTATTAATAATAAAATACCACACTCTCTACTTTGAATTATACAAACTAACAAAACATACATGAACCCTTTTAACACAAGCGTAAGTAGGTAGGTACCTAACGTATCATGATTCATTCAGAACCAGAACCGCCTATAACTACCTATTTCACTCGTCTCAATAACTTTATTCATATTATTTATAAATTCAAACATCTGTTTTCGTGAGATAACTGGAAATAATGATCCATAAAGACACACATTATGTGCCTACCTAGGCTATTAGTAAGTAAAATTATTTTATAGTCTTACCTTTCAGAGTTTCCAGGTAATTTAAAAAAAATTTATGTCTGGATGCGTTATTGACGAATTCATGCAACCAAACATAATAACAGCACAATATTTCCTATTCGTCATATTAAATAATGTACTCGAGCTGATTTCTAAATAAAAGACAACACACCGTCCGTTCGTCACTGCGGTACAGCCGCGTCTGTCTGCGTCCCGAGCGCGTCCCGACATCGGGCGCGTAGGTATAGTTCGCGTTTCGGCCGTTTCTATGAAGTTGAAATACTTGTAGATATTATTACCTTGCCTATGCCTAGCCTTTCAGAGACAAAAAAGCATAATGTTACGTTACGTTATTTATTTTTATCCAAACTAATATTATAAATGCGAAAGTATTTCGGTCTGTTTGTCTGTCTTTTCTTCACGCCTTAACTAGGTACTGAACCGATATTTGTGAAATTTGGTACAGACGTAGTTTGAAATCGTATTTTGAGTCGCGGGCAAAAGCTAGTGTGTTATAAAATATATCCGCTAATAAAACCTTATTAAACCAGCGAGGTCTGTAACCTAGGCAAGAACGCACCTTGGACTAATGACATAATAATTATTATCCTACATAATTGATGTTATTGTTTTAGCATTGGTAGGTAAGTATTGTAATAGAATTTTTAATATAATAGTTAAGTATTTTATTATAAGTAATAAAAATATGATTAGAATTCTTTGGAACAAACTTTTTAGTGTGGGAGAACCATGCTTTCGCTCGAATGGGTCGGCTCGACCGAGTGATGCCACGGCCTCACAGAAAACTGGCGTGAAATAACCACTGCGTTGTGTTTCACCGTGTGAATGAGGTTACCAGAGGGCCAATCTTTCTTCCCCTCCCCCAATCCGTACACATTCTCTAAATATCTAAAACCCTAATCTCCAAAAAGTCGGCAACGCACTCGTAACTCCTCCATTATTGTGGTTTTTTTTTTTGTGACGGGAAAATCATCAATTCTCCCGTCCAGGGACGGGCGCGAGGAAGTGTCAGTCTCTTACTGACTAAAAACCCCCCTGTTCCTTCTCCTGCTTCGGGCCGAGGTTGCGGTACTTCATTGCGCTTATACCGCAACCCTGGCTGAACATCAGCCCTATTGGGCCCCGTCTGTGGTGGTCTATTGGCTCTTTGAAGCGCGCGCGGAACGCTACGCGCCGTACGCTCAGGTCTGGTTCTAGTCGGGCGGCGAGCTAGTATTATGTATGTTTAAGGTAAGAAGTAAGTATCATACTCATTCCTATCCATAGGGTTTCAGACAATTAAGTATCTAGTATAGTAACTCCTATTGTGTTAAATTGTATGGAGTGCTGCTGAATCATTGATTTCCCCAGAGTCTGTACTGTATTAGAGATGATCTCATCTAAATACTCATTAACTCTTTGAAGTCCATTCTTAATAATTTTCATAAATAAATTCCGGATCTTGTTGTCATTTCATCATGACGGCTTCGTTCATCTAAGCATGAGAGAATCGCGGAAATGTGGGACATCCTCACAGAAAATCGGCGTGAAACAACTACAGCGTTATGTTTCGCTGTGTGAGTGAGGTTACCAGAGACCCAATCCTCCCAATCCAAGACCAAGGGATAGGAGGAGTCTCCTATCTCTTCCCAATTATTGAATGACTTTTCTCAACCTGCGTGTGAGAGGGATTGTCAACTTATAGGTTACTAAAACCCGTTCTGTTTACTGCTACAGGCCGGGCTTCATATCGGCCCAGTGTTGGTGTGATCACTCTTGGTACGCGTTCAGGTCACGAAAGGATGTACGCTCAGATCTGGTCCTGGTCGGGCAGTAAGCTACCCTTGCTTGCCGGGGCTGCAGGGTAAGCGCAATGAGACACCGCGACCTCGGCCTAGAGCAGGAGAAGGGACGGGGGGTCAGTAAGAGTCTGACACTCTCTCTCGCCTTACCCTGGGGGGAGAAGTCATTGGATGATTTTCCACTGACAAAAAAAACTACCCTTGCTTACCGTCACTTTCTCATCTAGTTAAAATCCCATTCACAACGACCTCTATGCAATTTAAGAAATTACATTGGATGCCTAAATCGAAATAGGACATAAGCGTCTATTTTCGTAAACCACTAATTGTTATTGAAATGAATTTTGTACAACAAAATAATCAAACTATCCATAACAGTATTAAATATGCAACGTGCATTCAAAACATGCCACACTTCAGACGTCACAGACAAATCAGGATAACTCAAAACAAGTGCATTCCAATTTGGTTACGATATCGTTTAATTTTAAGTTCGTAGAAGTGAAATTTCTATACAATGTTGGTTAAAAAATTGTTTCGACGGATACATGTGACGTCGACGTCTGAGTGTGACATAGATGTCAAATATAAATAGTAAATTTGTTGTGTATTGAATGTTATATTACATGTGTTATGTAATGCTGTGTAAACTGTAAACTTAGTCACTGATAAATATGGATGAACGTATTGGAAACTGCGAAGTTAGGAACATTTTTGGCGAGTTTAAGTAGTTGCAAAATTGCAAGTGTGATTATATCCCTAAAAGCCTTCCTAGTAGACTATCTAGAATAAATCGAGCAATGAATTGAGAAAAAATATTTTTAGCAACATTAAATATTAAAAATAATTGGAATCTAATAATAAATTATTTTTGTGGAAATATGATTATGAGCTGCCTACTTTTAACATGGTATTTATGCAACATAATTGCGCCATCACACTCCTTCGGAAATTCATGGTTGCTTTGTATTGTCAACTTAACCAAATAGACTCAGTTCGCTTCCGTAGACATTTTTCCCATGTAATATTTTATCATAAATGTTTTAAGTCCGCTGTTACTGTGGTATTTGGAGAGAAGGGCAAGATGTAATGCTTTATAATAACTCTCATATTAGAGAAGCACAAGCCGACAAAGATACTGTCAAAGCCAAAAATAATAAAATTTTAATCGTAAGTTATTTTCGTAGTAGTTGAGACTATTAGATCCTTGATTCTGAAAACAAATTTGACCGCAGAAACAGGGTCAAAAGTTGCCTAAGTGTTATTTCAGAATATAAGCTATAGGTATCTATGCAAAATTAATGTCGTGGTGGCCCGGAGGTTGAGGCGCCCGCTTCTCTTGCATGAGGGTGTGGGTTCGACACTTGACAAGTACCATTATGACTTGTTCCGAGTTATATGTACTTGATGATGATGATACATGATCATTTAGACACCTCTGGCATACGGTGAAGGTAAACATCGTGAGAAAACCTGGACCTATAGCCTAACCTATAGCAAGCGTGGTGATTAATGCTCTAACCTTCTCCATATGAGAAGTGGCCTTTGCTCAGCAGTGGGCATTTATAGGCTGATGATGATAATTTGGAAAAGGACATATGATAGTTTTTAAACCAGAAATCCGCAAGAAGTCATTATTACACGCGAACAAAGTCGCGCGCAAAAGCTGGTTGTAGATACAGCAACAGAAATTATAAAGTGCATTCAATATAATGCAGTTGTGCAGCGACTGTACTTTATTGGACAGGTGCTGTACGCAGAGTATCGCTAATCGCAATCACAGTGCAATCCTCGCTCAGTGCAGTATGGCGGCGCGCGCGATCGTCGCGTCTTGCGCGTTACTCGCGTTCGCGGGAGGTGCGTACGCGCAGGTCGGTTTTTATTAATGTTTTTATTTTTATTTTAGTTTAGTGATTTTGTTGTTTTGTTGTTTTTTGTTATATTTTTGTGTTTATTCTCATCGGTCGGTAAGAGTGGTATTTTATTTTTATTTTTTTAAATGTTTTTGAGTTGATTTTGGAAGTTGTAGTATTTTTAGATATTTTTAATTAATAATTACTTAGATTTATTTAAATTTGTAAAACGACTTTTTATTACGAATCCGATTTAAGGGTATTTTTCTTCATTTTAAAAGATTTTTGTGGCAAAAAAAATCTTACGCTATTTATGAAGTAACAAATAAATACATCTTAAAATTTACGATAAAAAGGGATACCTAACTAAAATTACCTCTAATACCATTATCTCTTCATACTCTTTCAGTGTAGGTAAACTATTATATAGTATATGAATAGTAAAAACATTCCGTAAATGACATTATTTATTGTAATTGACACGCATGTCAATCAATATACATTATTATGACATGGTATTAATTATGTATACCAATTACATATCTGCATTATACATATACTCAGCAAAATATAATTATCATGTATTGATATTTAATACATAAGGTAATTAAGGAATTTATGGATATAATAGTAAACAATTTTATTTACTAACTTACATCGATTTTCTATTTCACATTTGTGTGTGTGAGACTGCACGTTTGGTGCGGTGGCTGGGCAACTGGCTGCCGTGCAACGTGTCGCGGGTTCGATTCCCGCACGGAACAACTGTTTGTGTGATCCACAAATTGTTGTTCCGGGTCTGGGTGTCATGTGTATGTGAAATTGTATGTTTGTAACCGCACCCGCGACACAGGAGAAAATCCTAATGTGGGGCAACGTTTTTTTTTTAAAAAAAAAAAACATTAAGAACATTAGTGTAATATGAATGATAACAACCAATCAAATTAATAAAAAATGTAATTGTGAATAAAATGAATTTTGTGAGAGATCCATAAGAGTGACGTCATCACTTGTTTTGATTAAATACCATAGATATTTTATTTAATTAGGTAAAATAATAGTAAAGCTGAGCTTGAAATTAATAGATTAATGAGGATCTCATTACTTTCAGAAGTTTCAGATAATTGAATACATTTGTTAGAGGAACAATTTATTATTAAATGGTTATTGAAAAAAATATTTAATGTAAAATTTTCAAAATTATATTTTTGGATCTTTGACAATATTTGAATGTTTTTTGGGTTGTAGAGTAAGTAGTGTTACAAAAAATACAAGAAGAGTTTGTTGTTGTAGGTCACACACTTTTTTATTCAATATAAAAAATAGTTATGGCAACCTCACTAAAAAGTAATTAATAATTAATTTTATCACGATTTACAACTATGAAAATAAAACTGACTGATATCTGCAGAAAAAAATGTTTTATAATGAACCTTATTTTTTAAAGTCACTTAAAATAGAATGATTACCTATTTATAGTCAGAAAAAGTCCCGTCATACACTTTGCACTCCCAGCATTATAATGTTGTTCTAAACAAGAGATCTAATATCAGTGAGCCGAGTAAGCGTCACTTTTCACAACACTAGTGCTGTGTCGACATGACATTTCAAATCTGGATACGAATACGGTCATATCAAAATATCGGTTTCAATTTCTTAAAAAAACGGATACCTACCTACTTTTTTTGTGAGGGGAAAATCATCCACTGACTTTTCCCGCCCAGGGCCGGGCAGGAGGGAGTGTCAGACTCTTACTGACTAAAACCCCCCCTGTTCCTTCTCCTGCTCTGTGCCGAGGTCGCGGTACCTCATTGCGCTTACCCCGCAACCCCGGCTGAAAATCAGCCCTTTAGGGCCCCGTCTGTGGTGATACCTACCTACTTAAGGCTGATTTTTCAAATAAATGTTATATGAGAAATAAAATTGTTGCTGTCACTCTCTTATACAAACATTCTGACAAGGCAGCATCATAATTATTTCGCAGATAACCTTTATCTAACCACTGAAAAATCAGCCGCTAATAAATAATATTATTCTAATAAAAAAATAACAATGTTCATTTCTCCTAACTAGGACGTAATCTTTTCTTAAATATTGAAATTTTCAGCTAATTAATGAAAGTAAAACAGATACCTAATAATAAATCTATTTATATAAAAGATAGTTATAATAAATCAAACTCTCATATCCAAAATTCTCATTTCAATCGTTCAAACTTTAATAATAATATGTTATACAACGGTTTAGCTAACATTACAGTGATAAAAATAAAGCCAAAGCTTATTTTTCTACATTAATACGTGTCTGCATTTGCAATTAGCAAAATTTTATTCGGATCCGAGTTATACATTTTTTTTTTGTAATCCATAACAACAAACAAACGTAGTAAGCCTCATAAAAAATCACATTATAATTAATCAAGTAAGGTTCAGTAACGATTCCGAATAATTTTTAGTTTCGGTTCCAGTACACACACACAGCAGTTATGATGCGCATGCGTCGCTGTGTAAGTAAACACTCGGAATGTGTGGGAAACTATGTGTGAGGTTTACCTTACATAGAGGTCACGGCTTAGAGTACACTACTTTCTTTATTTTAAAGGGGAAAAGGGAATAAGAATGACTGTGAATATGACCACTTTTTTGTTCTTATATGTTATGAGGGACATATGTTCATTTCTTACGGCATCAAAATCTTTTGACTGTATGTTTAATTTAAATATCATGTGACGTTCCATGCTTCGGCACGAATGGGTTGGCTTGACCGGAATGATACCACGACCTCACAGAAAGCACGGTGAAACAAACAGTGTTTTGTTTCACCGTGTGGTTGAGGTTACCGGAGGCCCAATCCTTCCCTTTCTCTAATCCCAAAATCCCTAACCCCCAAAAGGACGGCAACGCACTTGTATTTCCTCCGTTATTGCAGATGTCCATGGGCGGCGCTGATTGCTTACCATCAGGTCGTTACCTGGTGGTAAGGTACGCTCGTTTGCCGAATTATCACATAAAATACAATTTATACTAAGCAGTGACATAGCGACCTCCCACACATTCATAAATATAAGTTACTTACTAAGTTTTATCTGGCTATTGTTAACTATTAATTGCTAGCTTCAATACATTTCTTTGTAGGACGGGGAGAGGGGGGTGTTACATGTTTTAAATTTGTCGCCTTTTTCGACTACTAGGTATAGTGTAGCATAGATAATATGAAATGGTCTATGACCACCGTTCTATACTCTGTGCCTTTTGCGCTTGTCATCTTTCTCTTTGCAATACGCATCCATACAAACATGTTGTAAATTCTCAAGCTACTAAATAAAACTATTTATATCTTTCAAATCGTCGTTTAATTCATCACCCTTCAAAAGGCGCTAAAATTTTTAGAAAAAAAGAGTTTGGGATTTTTACCTTCTTAAAACCTCCATGGTGATTACCATCCACACATAAGCACCAGGTTCTCTTAAGTCTGAGTCAAGAACCCTTACAACATAACGCTTGCTTGGGATGTGCCCTAGCAGGCGTAGGTAGACCTAACCGAACCTTTAAAGCAGTCAGTTGTTTAACCAAAGAGGAATTTTTTTTCTTATCATCTTTAAGAGAGTATGTGCGAGAAAGCTGTAACATAAGAATTTGTTAAATATGAGGTCAATACAAAAGGTGTTTATTTTTATAAAGCCTTGAAGAGGCCTTGAATAGTTTTGTTAGAGAGGGCTTAATCGCAACTTACTTGACCTCAAAAAGAAAATGAGGGTGGGAAAATTGAGTTCTGACTGGCGCGCATAGTGTAGCGAGTTCGATTCCTGCACGGAACAATCTGTTGTGTGTTCCACAAAAATGTTCTTCCGGGTCTGGGTGTGATGTGTATGTGAAACTCAAGACACAGGAAAAAAACCTTAGTGTGGAGTAACGTTTAAAAAAAGAATCTAGATTCTTAAACGTAATAAAAACACACTAAGATATTTCATTCTCAAAATCAATTTATAAAATGTTGAGTTTATCAACTAATATAATGTATAACACTTGTGTACATAATATACATATCAATATACATTATATACCTCCATATTATTTACTTAGCGAATGATTTAGAGACAAAATATAACGACTAAGTATCAGCTGTTACAGCAAGCACATACATTAGTCACCAGAAATTGTAAAGAGGGTTTATTGAAAAAAAAAAAATTCAGACCTTCATATTTTCTATTGTGCAAGATAAATACTTGGAAAAAATGTCCTTCTTATATTTAATACGTTTTATGCACAGATATTATAAGCGTGGGAGAGCCATGCATGCTTCGGCACGAATGGACCGTCTTGACCTAAAACCGGCGTGAAATAATCACAGCGTTGTGTTTCGCAGTGTGCGTGAGATTACTAAAGGGAGGGATTAGGGGAGGGGATTACTAAAAACCAATCCCCTCCCCCAATCCCAAAATCTCCAAATCCCTAGCCCCCTAAAGGTCGGCAACGCACTCGTAACTCCTCCATAGTTGGTGCTGCTTGCTTACCATCAGGAAATCCGTTTGCTCGTTTGCCGACCGAACTTAAAATATACTTGTATATACATATATGTATGTGCATCTCTGTGCATGGTATGTAGACATATTGCTATGAGCATTCTCTCCCAGTCAAACCTTTGGGTGATGTAGAGATGAACCAGCACAAAGCAAGCGTAATCTAGAGCAATCGATAAGGCCTGATTTTTCAATGGCTAGGCAAAAGTCATATGAGGAATAAAATTGTTGCTGTCACTTTCTTATACAAACATTCTGATGCGACAGCACCATAATTATTCCCCAGATCAAAACAAATCAGCCCTAAAAATTACAAAAACAATTCCTAAAATTTAAAAAAGGCACATCTAAAACCTCCTTTTAAATAATTCCTAAAAACATTCAAAAAACGAATAGACCAACTAAAAAAAAAAAACAATATCATAGTGTAATCTGTGTTAAAACCGTCTTCATCGACTGACGTGACGTCAACATGGATGTCACACGGTGCAACATCTGA